AGCCAGTGAGCGGGAACCGGTCACCACATGGGATCCGAACCCTTGGCGGGAGCACCGCCACACTCCAGTGCGCCACCGGGCCAGCCCAGTATTATCTTTTAATTCTATTTTTTCATGAGCATTTTGAAGTACTCTTATATAAAACTATATGTAAAATATATAACTACGAACAGTAAAACCTTAATCTTACCAGAAGCAGTCTCTTTGAACTATTACTTTTTGCATTTGGTGTTTTACTTCATATTTTTAAACAAACATAATATTTACATACTGCTATATCTTGATAGGCATCTGACATTCTATTATAGAAAATAAGATCTTAACATTCTCACACCATTCCTCCCACCTGTCTCCCTCACTCTCCCGATATGGTTATGCATACTTTTTGATTATATCATTGTTCATTGTTTACATCATTATGACTGTGTAACTGAATGTTGAGCTGAGATATATATTAAAATGGCAATTCTTTTCTTGAGCAACTTTTATATTTCCTGGAGCTAATTATTGATTTATTTTTTCACCTGCTTGATCTTTTGTTTTATTATTTAAATTTTCAACTATGGTTAAGATCTTCTCAAGTGTGCGTCCCCCAACCCCGCCCACCTCGCCACTCAACATATTAGATACTAGAATGTTTTTCCTGGCCATATGCCTCCTGGAGGCTTCAGTCTTCCTGCTCTAGTAGTTTGTTGCTTTTTAGCCTGGCTGCATAGAAAGTCCAGAGACTTGCTTTTGTCCTGACCCTGTTTTCTAGATCCTATGTTGCTGTTATTTTTCTTCATTTAATAAGGCATATCTTTCAGTAGCTGTGTGAGATTGTGCCGCGAAGTACACAATTTGTTGAGGAGTTGTGTATCTGAAAATGTCTTCTACCCTCACGTTTGACTGGTAGTTTGACTGGATTTAGAGTTCTAGGTTGGAAATAATTACTGCACACATTTTTGAAGACATTAATTCAGTGTTTTAACTTTTACTGTTAGTGGTAGGAAATAATTTGTTCTGAATTCTAATCCCAGATGTGAAATAATTTGTTCTTCTGAGTTCTAACCCCAGATATGACTATTATATGTTTAATTTTCAGGAGTTCTTTTTTGGGTTGCATTACTAATTAGAGTCTTGTTATAGAAATGACATCTTACCTTTCTTAAAATACATACGTACACATATATATATTTTCTCCTCTTCCCAGCATTCTCTTTCTATCCTTGGAGGTGGTGGTGTGTTCCTCCCCATACCCCTGCCCTGTTTCGGACTTGTTTATGTTAGGGGGCAGGGAGGCGGCTCTCATGATAACCTGGTATCTTCATTTCATTAGCCTTTCTTGGTTTCTGGCACATTTTCCCTTTTCTCTTCTCTGCCAAGTTAGTGATTATTTCTTCATTTGCTTTGTCTTCATTTATTATGTTTTGGAGTTACATATATTTTATGATTGCATCAAAGACAGGTTGTGTTTGTTTCTTATTTTTCTTGTCGTTTCGAGGTTATTTCTAAGAAGAGAAACAGACAGAAAAGTTATACATCATTTTAAACCAGGACATTTACCAGCCTTCACATAATAGATTTCTTCAGTATCTTTCTCTGTAACAGAGTACAAGCTATTTCCAGGTAGCAGAGCATAGGGAATTTACAAGAAATTCACAAATAACTTTATTAAAGTATCTTTGGGGAGAAAAAGAGTGCTTTTAAAGAGTGGATTTTAAACATCTGTATACTATTCAATTAACACATTGATGCACTCTGCGCCAAGCCTCGGGCAAAAAAAGCAAGTCTCAGGACTTGCTACAGAGCCAGCCTAGAAAGCAACAAAGTACTAGAGCAGGAAGACTGAAGCCTCCAGGAGGGATATGGCCAGGAAAAACTAATTCTAGTATCTAATATGAGTGGCAGGGGGGGTTAAGTGGGGGGAGTGGAGAGAGCTGAGGGGAGTTTAACTGTAGTCAAAAATTTAAATAATAAAAGATCAAGCAGGTGAAAAATTAAAGCAATAATTAGCTCCAGGAAATATTCATTTAATACATTTATTATGCAGTATATGCCAAGCCTTGGGCACAGCTCTGGATATACAGGCTATCTCTGATCTCAAAAGGCTCACTCTGTAGGACAAGAGATGAATTTGTACAGTGTGGTGGGTGCTATGATAAAGGTAAGCATAGGGTGTTGGGGGAGCATACAGGAGCAGAAGAGATTCAAGGAAGGTTTTCTGTAGGAGATAATGCCTACACTAAAGATAATTAGGAATAACTAGGCAAAGGAAGAGACCTTTGTAAAATGCAATGTTGTGTTACAGATTTACAGAGTAAATTTGTGGCCAAAGAAAATGAAGTACAGAGTCTGCATAGTAAGCTTACAGATACCTTGGTATCAAAACAACAGTTGGAGCAAAGACTAATGCAGTTAATGGAATCGGAGCAAAAAAGAATAAACAAAGAAGAGTCTCTACAAATGCAAGTTCAGGTATCTATTTTTTCTTCTTTTTAAAAAAATTAAGGTGGGTGGCGATTGGAATATGTGTGTTTAAAAGAGAGAGCAAGGTCTACTTTGTCTTAATTCTGGAGTGGGGATGAATAATTATAACTTACTCTTTCAGCACTTGTCACATACGGTGTGTTTGAAGATTTGCTCACTCACAGTCTTATGCTCCTTGTATTAGATTAGGAACAGCACAATTATATCCTTAATTTCTACCTTATGAATGAACTCAGAATAGAATGCCTAATCATTGTTTAAAATAATGCCTTGTAGAATCTAAGAATATCTTTTAAAGATAAACAGAGGTCCCTGTAACACATCGTGTTCATATACATAGGGATATTTATTAATATCACCTTTTTTTCCTCTCTCATTGGTTGCTATTTATGAAAGGATATTTTGGAGCAGAATGAGGCATTGAAAGCTCAAATTCAACAATTCCATTCCCAGATAGCAGCCCAGGTAATGGTACTTTTTTATTGCTTATCATTAGTAATAGCTTCCTAGCCATTTAAACAATCAGCTGAGTGTCTGTTGAGTACCAACTATTGGATTAGTAGTTGGGAGACTAGTCAATGAATCAACAAATGATGATCTTGAGTGCTAAATGATAATTATGTACAGTGCTATAGGAAAACACTAAGAAAGAAGTTCAAGTCAGACTAATGGGAAAAGAGCTTTTACCATACAGGAAAAAAATATTCCCAATCCTGTCACAAAATGGGGGGAATTGGCCAAGTCGTGTGTAGAGTAGTGATTTATGTATTAAAGGTGTTCACTAAATATTGACTAGCCATGGGAAAACCTCACTAGCCCTTGGTATAGCAATGTGTTAACTATAGCGCTCAGATTATATTTGCAAAAGGGTCAATTTAAAACTTATACTTCAGTTTGGTTAGTGGTAAGCCTTCCAAAATTTTGCAAGTGGTATTGTAAGATCAGTGATTCTTTGGCAATAGTGAAAACTTCCAAGTACTTGTTTTTATAATGCACGTATTGTGAACTTCAATTTCAGTTCTTCAACTTTAAAATTCTAAAATTTGTTTGTAGCAAAAAGTATTAACTTAGAATAGAGGTGTGACTTTTCTGTGTAAAGAGTGGTTTTCTCATTAAAAACTTGTTTTTAAGGTTCAGACAAGTCCAAAAGCTTTGAGCATGTAAACATTTTTTTCCCGATTGCTTTCTTTGTAGAAACTATAGTCTAAAATTAATTGGAGAATTATTTAATATAGGAAAGGGTGTTGGTGTGGGTGTGTGTGTATGTGTAAGTTATCATCTCAAATTGGATTGAGATCTTTAGTTGTCAGCTGAGAGGTAGCTCTAGAAAATGTGTCAGGAATTAAATACTTAGAGAGTGCAATAAGTACCTTTTAAATAAGTAAAGATGAGCATGGGTATTACCAACTACTTAATTATTGTAATCATGAAGTGAATCGTTTCATTACCAAAGTTGTTACTAAGGAAGGAGAAGTGCAGATGTGAAAAGTGGCCTATGTGGCTGTTTTTTCTGTGTATTTGTTTCTTGTCAGTTATGTAGTTTCCAGGCCTGTCCACTTGTTTTATTCTAAATGTCTTGTGATATGTAATCCCCTAATACTGGCTGTTGGTGATCAGACTTGCTTTCAGAATGACAGATACTCTTTATTGAACACTCACCATAGGCCAGATACTCCCTTAACAACTTTAGATACATTAATTTCTCTTAATTTGTAAAGCTCCTGTTGTGATGATTATTGTACAGCTTTTAAACTTTCTCTTAAAACCTTTTATGTTGACACTGTTTTTCTTTCTTAGACCTCCGCTTCAGTTCTAGCAGAAGAATTACATAAAGTGTAAGCCTGCCTTTCCACACTTCTCTTATGATTGTGTGTAGTCACCACTAACTGATACTTGTTAGATATAACACTTATGATTACCTTTATACTCTGATCTGTTAGGAAATACTCTAAACTAGATTTGGAGCAACTTTTGCTCTTTTTTTTTTTTTCTCTTAGTGAGTTGGGACTTTAAATACTACACATTCTGTTTTCTCATCTTCCATAAACGGAGTTGGGGAAACTTTCTTTCATTTGGGTATTAGCAGTTATGTGGAAAAGATAATTGTGTTTTGGGAGTAGTGGAAGTAAATTAGTTTTGTGTCTTATAAGTAGTTAATAATTGCTGTTTCTATCTATGTGGTAGTATTCCCAAAACAAAGTTCTATGTTTTTTTGTGTGTTGTATAATCTTGCATAGACATGTATCACTGGAATTCAGAATACCTGAAATCTGGCTTTGACATTGCCAGCCTTGTGAGCTTAAACAAATTGATTAAATTCTTTGACCCTGAGTTTTAAAATAGGGGTATGCATTTTAAGGAGTTATAGTAATGCATGTGACATTTGTTAGTAAATTGAAAGGGGCTGCAGAAATGGAAGGTACAGTTACATGAGAAAATACTTAAGTTAGGATGACTCTATTTAATGTTTTTAATCCTTTTATTTGACTTGAACTCTAAATGTTTATTGAATGTACAAATATATTTCCTTTGAAGAATTGCAGAAAAGGATAAGCAGATAAAACAGACTGAAGATTCTTTAGCAAATGAACACGATCATTTAACAAGTAAAGAGGAGGAACTTAAGGTACAGTATTTCTTATAAATGGGTGCAATATTTTATAGGTCTTGAAACTGAATTACCCTGATCTTATAATCAGTATGAGTTTATATGAAGAGTGGAAAATTCTCTAGAACTTATTTGAAAAATGTCTCTTTTCTAAACTACAAAATTCTTTTTAGCTAAGAAGAAAAATTCAAAGAGCTTTTTTTTTTTTTTGTGACCGGTAAGTGGATCACAACCCTTGGTGTGGTGTTGCCTGCACTGCGCTCAGCCAGTGAGCACACTGGCCAGTCCCATATAGGATCCGAACCCGCGGCTGGAGCGTTGCTGTGCTCCCAGCGCCACACTCTCCCGAGTGCGCCACGGGGCCGGCCCTCAAAGAGCTTTTTTCACATGATATAATTCACCATAATTGATTGAGAAATATGCTAAATAACAGCAACTGATCAGTTTCTCTTTCTGATTTAGGAAGTTTGTAATTTGAGACCTTTGCTTAATTCTTATGTAGAAGAGATGCTTTACGAACTTTAAAGTTGGCTATATTAAATGTTTTTAATATTCTTTTTCCTTATTCTAGGATATACAGAATATGAATTTCTTATTAAAAGCTGAAGTGCAAAAATTACAGGCCCTGGCAAATGAACAGGTAGGTCTTTATTGCTTTTGAGCATTTACCTCAGACTTTCAATTTGTCATTCTTATTTCCATTGATAATGCAAGCCTCAGTTTTATTTCTGTAAATAATAAATATAAGGGTTACTTGTGTTTAGCTGGGTAGTGTCTTCTGCTGCCATTTAATCCAAAAGAATACACCTTTTGTTAAGATAAAAGTTAATTGTTAGAAGTACAAAGTATTAGACAGCAAGGTATATTACAGAAATGTATTATATTGCTATAACTTTATTCCAAATATATGCAAATATAACTTTTTAATATGTAAAAACAAATGAAAAAGTAGTTTTGAGTAATTCCTGAGAAATGACATATGTCTCATCTCATTTTAAACACAGGCTGCTGCTGCCCATGAAGTAGAGAAGATGCAAAAAAGGTGATTAAAGTATTGCTGTAGGGCTGGCCCTGTGGCTCACTTGGGAGAGTGCGGTGCTGATAAAGTATTGCTGTACATAGAGCCATTCATACATTCATGTTCCAGTACAATTGTTACAGAAAATAGTGCTGCTTGTAACTGATAGTTGTGCATATAATTTATGTAAGCTTTCTGAGTGAAGTATGAAGTATTTTAATTGATTTTTTTCCTCGTAGCATTCATGTTAAGGATGATAAAATAAGATTGCTTGAAGAGCAGCTACAATGTGAAATTTCAAGGAAAATGGAAGAATTTAAGGTGTGTGGTTAAGCTTGTAAACTCAGCTTTCTTAGAACAACATTGTATAATTTTCAGTTGAAGAAAATGTAGAAATACTACTTTTTGTATGAAATCACCTTGAAACAATGTTTCTATAGTATATTTGGGGACTTCTGTACACAATGAATTTTATCATAGATATTTTTCCTCTGCAGTTTTCAGCTTGTTTGTATTTGTGTCGGTTTTATCTGTCTCCATTGTTGCTGTAGTTCTAGTCTCTGGTCATGGGCAACCAGTTTGAGTATCTGAGTACCAGGGTGCCTCTTGTGTCCAATGAAATTTGAATTTTTTTTTTTTTTAAAGATGACTGGTAAGGGGATCTTAACCCTTGACTTGGTGTTGTCAGCACCACTCTCTCTGAAGTGAGCTAACCGGCCATCCCTATATAGGAATCCGAACCCATGGCCTTGGTGTTATTAGCACCACACTCTCCCAAGTGAGCCACGGACCAGCTCTAGATTTGAATTCTTATGTATAACTCATCTGTAACTTTAGGAGTACTCAAAGAAGTAATATGGGTTTGATTGTTCAAAAACTCATTCAAATGATTGCTTTATTACCTTTTTTCTTAAAAAAAGCAGTAAATTGAGATTCTTTTTTTCAGATTCTAAATGACCAAAATAAAGCATTAAAATTAGAAGTTCAGAAGCTACAGACTGTTGTTTCTGAACAGGTAAGGCTTTTCATGAATTACGAGGTAGAAATATCCAGTATATAACATCTGGTTCTTCTTAATTAGTAACCAATTCACTAGTTGAGAAATTTTGCTTAAGCTTAAATGTCCCTTAATTGCATTTCTGTTTATCTTGTGCTTATCAAATATCTAAGGAAAATACAGTTTTTCTTCCCTGAAATGAAGCTAATGCTAATCTGTTCATAGGCACTCCCTCCCCCCTTATCCTTCCAAAGTGTAATAGGACGCATAAAAAGGATTTCTTTAAGCCATTTTGATACATTTGGATCTCAGGAAAAAGGTTCTTCCTTAGACTTTTGGAGCCTCAGCCTTTTCTTTTAGGCAGCATGTTTTTCTAAAAAGAGAATGAGTTTGAAACCTACTACCAGCACTTAAAAGCAGAGTGATATTGATCAAATTGCTTAACATTTCTGATGCTTTTCATTCCAAATCTTTCACATTGAGATTATACTTATGTCATAAGGTTGTTAGATTCAAATAGGGAAGCTTATGTATAGTGCTTAGCATATAGCAGAAATCTAAACCTTAATTCCTTTCCCTTAGAATATTTATTTTTTACAACTCTTCTCCACCCCCTTCCACCATCCTTTCTATATTTATAGCAAGCCATCAAAACTATAGCAGCTTTGAATAAGCGTGGCGCTATAAACTAGAGCCTGCTGATGTCTATTCTCTGGCTGTTCCTAAGTGTTGCCTTCATACTCTTCTATATAACCCTTCAAATTACAGCTTAAAAAAATATTCTAGAAACTCTTGATATTAGATGACACATTAGAATAGAAGCTTTGTGTGTCTCCTTAATATTAAGTTTTTGGAATGTGCTTTTATTAGAAACTGAAATAAAGCTATTGCAAATGATAGCACTTTCTGTAGTAGATGCATGTATTCTTTTTTCTTTTAAAATTCACATTTATGCAGATATTGAATTGGAATAAGTAGCTGTGCCTCTGGAAGTATTTTGATAAGTCTTACTTGCTGAGAAATAATCCACTTATTCTTTCCCCCTATGATATTAAGTGCTAGTGCTTTGTGTAATGTTTATTACTTTGTAATATGTTTTATCCTTGCATACAAAAGGTATAATAGAGGAGGAAATGTTGTAGGGATATTTAGTCTAAATGGTATGTAAGTCTTATTCTTAAATTTTATTTTCCTTTGTTGGTTGTGGTATAGCTTATGAAAGATAATGATATTTCATCAGTTGTAACACCCCCCCCCCCCAACAATTTATCATCTCTCTGAAATCTGGATGTATCTTTTAGTTTCTGGTTATAGTTTGGTTAGCAGCATTTTTAATTTTTTAGTGTTAAATAAAATATTAGTTGTAAGATGTAACATTGGTGAATTGGATTAGATAAAGTATGATAGGTTTTTGTTTTGGGGGTTTTTTTTGGTGTTAATTCTTACCGAGAAAAGCAGAATGTGGTTTTTGTGTATTAAGTTACCAGAGATTTTGAAACATCTAATTCAGTATATAACTTCATGGAGGTAAAACAAATGCCTAGAAACTTCTGAATCTCTCCCAGATTTCCTGTATTCTAGTAGTACCCAGGTGCTGGCCACTCTTACCTAGATTTAAACAGAAAACCTGAATCTTTTAAAACCTTTTATCTTCTGTTCTTTACTAAGGATGATATTTTCCAGTATTAGACAAGAGTAAAACTACTAGCTTTAAGTTTTTCTTTTCCTTCAAGATTGTATGAATTGAGAATTGCCATTCTAATATCTTATGTAAAATTCCTTATGACATTTCTGGAAGTTAATGTTTTTTTAAAAAAATTCTCATATTTCTATTTTATTGAGTTGGCCTTCTATCAATTATAAGGTTTCTGTGCACTTTTAGATGTTCTGTTAAAATGGTGGCTTTTAATATGAAATGGATTTTCGTTATGAAGAATAGTTAACAGTCCACAGAACAAAATTTCACAGCCACATTTTCGGATTTATTTAAAAGAATTATTTGATATGAGGGGAAACTCATTTTGTGGTACTAATTTAAGATTTCCTATTGGGTAGTTCTTAGAATTGTTCTTCTAGTTCCAAGAGCTTTTTTTTTTTTTTTTTTTTTTTTTTTAAAAAATTTNATACCTTCTTAGTGAGTTTCTTTAAAAAATAAAACAACCTCTTTCCTATTTGTGATGATCCGTAAATATTATAAAATTTCGCGAATATTATGTTGTGACTAGAATGTGTTTACTGTTATTTTTGACATTAACTCTAACTCACACTCTAACATTAACCAACACATCAATAAATATATTATACAATTTTCCTCATTCATGAAAGTGATGCTAACCATATATTTCTTAATAGTCATCGTGATGTGGCATTTGGTTATTATATTGCAAAGCTGTGTAAAGTGTGTCACTTGTAGTTACACTTATATCTACAAAGTACTTGAACATCCAGCAGATTAAGGAGAAACCATTATTTCTTTCTTAGCTATTTTATAACTAAGCAGTACGAGAAGTTTTTACAATATCTATCTGTGCATCTATTATTTTAGATTTGTTGTTTTCTGTAGATGAAGCCTGAATCTATTTCAGTGTTTATGTCAGTAACTAGCATACAAAAATTTAGACTTCCGAGAGCTGCACCCTTTAGTCTGAAGAATCATTCCACTCCGAAAGTTGCGTTTGACCTGATGTCTTGTGAGAGCACAGATTTAGTCGTGCATCTGTTACTTAACTGTAATGATCAACATTTCCATTTTATCATTCAGTGATTTATCATCGTGTTGGAGACTGATGGATATGACTCATGGTGTCAGCAAAGTGGAGCCAAAACTCATTCTACAAATTTAGTAGTAAAAATGCTTAATGAATTCTCAGCATGAGCAGGTGATAAGCAGCACTCTTTGATCATCACGCATTATAGACTAGACATCACTGTTTTATGTTGGATATATTTTTATATACATTGTACTTGCAATAGAGCAGGACACTGCTAATTCTTATGCTAGCAAATTCATTTATACATGTGATGTATTTTTTCTGAAATAGACATCTATATTTACGTATAAATTATATGCACATATAGAATTTCATTAAGGATTGGCTAGATTACCCAGCCCCCCCAAAAAAAATCTCACAAATCTCAAGGGGTTTAGAAAATCTCGCTCATTTTGTTTTTTTTTTTTTGTCTTTTTCTGTGTCCGGCAACGGATTGCAACCCTCAGTGTCGCCCCC